CCATGGGAAAGCTCATGTCCATTCCCCCACTCACTCCATTGTGGCTCCCTGAAATCTCTGAAGTAGCAGAATTCTCAGTCGACATGGTCAAGCAGTTAATCAGCCCCAAACACCGGACTTAGGACCCCTCCTTACTCCACAAAACAATGCTCCACTCAGTTCACACCCACACACTTGGGTTTAACAACCAGGTTGAGCACAAACAGTACCAAATTCCGGACAGAACAGAGATAATACTCGGCAGATTTCAGACCTGTATAGCTTCAACAGTCCCAACCTACCAGAATTCCAGAATGTCTAACAGCCGCTAATCAGCAGGAGAGATCCTTCTTACTTATAGTCAACTCAAACCATTGAGGAGACAGGTCATCCTTGACCTACAGTTGTCTTAACACATGAACAGGATCACACGATCTAACAAAACAGGGGTTACACAGGTTCGGCAGCATTCAGCCGCCCAGACTCATAGGGTTTTCACTTGGCACGTGACCAAGGAGGGTAAAGAAGAGAAAAACAGAGAGAACTCTACCAGTTTCAGCTACTTTTCCAGTCCAGAATCAGATTTCTATTGCGCCCAGGTTCTGCTAGTCTGTTCGATCTATTCTCTGGGTTGATCGATCTGCTCTCTTTAATCAGAATTCCTGCTCTGATACCATCTTGACAGTGTAGCCGACCAGAACTAAGAGGAAGAGAAGGGAAGAGAAGAGAGGAAGGAAGAAAGAAGGGTTTTGCAATGTAACAGTGCTGGCGGCGCCAGCCTTTATTTTAATATATATAGGGCGGCAGAAATAACAAGGGAAAAGACCCTTGTGCCCCTGAGTACAATAACAGACATAACAGGAAAAACGAAATAAATAAACACTTTAATTAGCCAAACAGGCCCTAACATCAGCAACTAAATTATTTTAACAGGCACCAAGTGGCAACCCCAAATAAGAAGGGGGAAGCTTTCCTGCTTTGCATCCCATAACATCAGCCCAAAACTTAGCCCTGCTCTCCTGTCCAACTACCATTAACTCACTTTTGCAAAGATTAACTCTCAGTCCTGTTAAAGCCTCAAACCATCTCAGGATAAAATTCAAATGGGTTACATTCTCAAGAGTTGCATTGCAGAAAAAAGTAGAGGGTCATCTGCAAACTGGAGAAGTATCTTCTACATCAAGTAGTTGAAACAATTTTTGAATCTAACCAAATTCTTTTCACTGTTTGATATTGTAGAATTATTTTGCATGGTTGTGAGACAGTTAACTAATTCCAGTATTTTATCCTGATTGGTGCTAACATAATTTGATATCTGTAATATCTTTTCTGTTATATTGTTCTGACTGTATTTTGAATTGTTGTAGATACATTCTTAAAACCAGCTTCTGGTTCTGATGAATCTCAACCAAGTGGTTGGTTTCGAGCATTGACAGTCACAGCTTATAAGCCATACTTTGATGTGGATACTTCGGATGTATTAGAGAGGATTAAGGATTCACTCTTTCCATTTAAAGCCAGTTTTTCTGAAAAGACTGCTAACAACCCAGACCTGTAAGTTGTCTCACTGTAATTTATCTGTAGATTTCATGGCATATTTATTAATTTAATTAATATGGTAAAACTGTATAAATCTTAGAAAGTATGAGCCTGGAGTACGTACAACTCCTCTGACGTAAAAATGAAGCACCAGGGGCAGCTTATGCCCTAGTGAAGGGCTCCCTTTTGCAACATAGACAAAAGATATCCTGTCTGGAAGAAAAAAAGTCTGCTAAACTGGATCACTGTTCCGGCTGTGACCAATAAATTGACTTAAGGGATTATTGGAGTTTAGCCAGTAGTTCAACAACCTCTTCTACTTATTTTATGGTTTAGCCTCCAGAGACCAATTGGTATGCCCTTCACCCAATCTTTAACTATAACAGAATCACAATGATACCCAAAGAAACTGCTAATATAATCCCTGGAGAAGTAATAGCATCTTGGGTCTCACTGAATCCCTGCCCAATATAGTAGAATGATGTTGACCTTACTGTTCCTGAAAGATTTGCCTATTCCTGATGGATCAGTATTATCCATAATGCATTTGCGAAAAAAAACCAAAAACGGTATTGGGGCTTTATTTTTGAAGTAACCAATAAGTTGGGATTAGATGGTTATCTTTGATGGAAAATTGACGGACCAATCTCTCAACCTCTAAGAGCCTGACTTGTGATGCTGTCACCTACATATGAACCATCATTTTCATTTCCAAGTTTCTGCTTGTAACTTAAAGTAATTTTCCACTGTAAGGGGGTCCAATTTTATGGTTACCCTGATTCTGAAGTTGATTGATTTCATATACGACAAAAAAGGTAACAGAGTTGGACTGAGTTTAGTTTGGGGGCATTTTTTTCAGTCTTTGGGAGTTGGGTAGTTTGGGGTAATAAATAATACGTCAAAAGAACAAAAAATAGAATATTTAATCTGTTAAGTTTCTCTAGCTTTATGTTGATCTCTTTTCAATCTCTGCCACTCTTCTTAATAAATTCCCACTGCTCAGAGTTTTTAAAACTTGAAAATTTTTAGAAATGTTCTCTTTGTTTCTCATTTTCCTTTTGTTATGTGTCTTATGGTAGTGGTGTGCATTATAATCTTTACTATAAATATCGAACAGGTATGGACCATTTTGGATATGCACCACCTTAATTTTTGTAGCGGCATCTATTGCTACATTTGTCACGTATCTAGCACACAAGCTGCAGAAGAAAGAGTGGAACTATGATATCAACCTTGTGACGTGGTCTGCTGGTTTGTTTTACGGCTATGCCACCATTGTTCCTCTTATCCTGTATATCATCTTAAAATACTTCTCAGCACCATCTGGCCTTGTTCAGCTATTTTGTCTATATGGATACTCCCTCTTTGTCTTCATTCCTGCCTTGGTAAGTTCTACTGTGCCATTTTGCACCATCCATCATTGCTTTAATGAACATTATTTGTATAGAAATCACAATTGAACGGCAGACTTCTGTCAAAAACATCAGGAGAGTATTGTTGCTACCCTGCTCAATGATAAATTTAGCAGTAAGAGTATTCTCGTGGGGGTATGTGTCAGAAAGTATTAAGTGCTTAAAAATAAGCACCCAAGAAGGTGCTTATTTGTAACAGGCTTATTTCCATGAATAAGCACTTATTTACCAAACGCCAATAAGTGCTTATTTGTGTGGTCCTGGCCTCAAATAAGTGGTTATTCCAATAAGCACACTCCCAAATGGGGCTTGGTGGGTTGTTGGGTGCCAAATGATACCTACCCAGTCATTAGCGAGTTCAGATCTGCGCCCCACAATGTCCCACAACACATCCCTGTCATGTATTGGGAACATTTGATGATAGTATCAGAAATGATGATGTCATCATCAGGAGATGTTCTCAATACACGGCGAGAATGTGCTGTGGGACGTTGTGGGGGCGTAGATGTGAAGTCGTCATTAGCAAGTGGCAACTGCCTATAATTCTAGCAGGGTGGAGGTTTTTGTGTAATCTTTTCATAAGCCAATTTATCATTAAATTGTATCTAGTCTCATGATACACCCGGGCTTTGACAAAAACTTGTTTCATTTTGGCTGCAGTGTCTGTCTGTGATACCTATTGAAGTGTTTAGGTGGGCGATTGTGGGTGTCGCGGGGTTCATGTCGGCAACCTTTGTTGCCCTCAATCTCCGGAATCACATCAGGTCAGCAGGTGAAAGGTGGTTTTTAATTGTGGCTGGGATCTTTTTATTGCAGGTGGCTCTGGCTGTCGTACTTAAGTTCTATTTGTTCACTGTTACAGTATGAGCATACATAGAGAACTCAAATAGGATACTTATCATTGGAGCGAGATTTTTGAGCATTGGCTCGATGTTGTATTTTCCCATGTTAATGGAATATAGTCTTTAGAGGTGGAATTTATGACTTGTATTCTTTCATTTTTGGCCATATAAATTCAATGAACGAATCTCTAGCCCAAGAGCCCAAGACCTTTTTTTTTTTTTTGAATTTTGTGTTCGTTCTACGAAGTACGAACTTAACAGTAACAATTTTCTCCCCCATCCGTTCCCATGGTTTATAACTTTTTTAATATGCAAAATAAGTATGGTTTTGGTTCTTAGTGTTTATTAAAAAATGCCACTACATCAGTGCTATTTAGGTGTTGGCGTTTATTGCATATGAAGTAAAATGAAATTACTGTTTGGTTTCACCGTTTATCAAACAAATGGTTGAAAACTGAAGTGTTTTGATTTTTGTGCCTGGGGTATTTGGGGAATGTCAAGTTCTTGTTTTCTCCAATGCCTCAAAGTTTCTTGAAACCAAATGTTGATATGGTACACTTTAATGGGTATTAATCTGAAGTGGATAGTAAAGCGTTTAAAGTAAAACCCAACCAAACAACAAAAACATGAAACATTTAAAGTAAAACCCAACCAAACAACAAAAACATGAAACATTTAAGGTAAAAAAGTATAAATAAATGTTTAAAGTAAAGTACAAATAAACTATCACCCATAAATATAAGTGAAACCAAACACCTTCTAAGTCGTATCTACTGCCAAAGCTTTGTTTTAATAACCTTTAAGCCTCTTTCATGAGTAAATAAGCACAGTCTTGATGGGAAATTTTTAGGCTTGTCATGAATCAGATGATTATGAAAGAGTATAACAGTCACAGCAAGGTACCAACTAGCTAGTTGCTTTTGCTGTGAGTGTGAGCGGGTTTATTCCCTCTCAGTGTATATCTTTTTATTCAATAGAGTTCTTTTTGCAGCCAAAAAAAGAAAAAAAAAGAAGCAAGATGTCAACTGGCTAGTTGGTAAGGTCTCAAGTTGCTTGTTACGTTGATTTGGGATCAAATCTTGATTGAACCAGGGTTTAGGGTTATCCTATTAATCCCCATCCCTGTCGGGTACCCGAGTCGATGGGGTTGGGATGGGGACAGAGAAGGGCATCAATAGGGATCTCCAACTGGGGTTGGGGTTGGGATGGGGAATGAAGTCTTCGCCTTGCCTTCATTTATATCAAGTAAAATCTTGCACATGTATATCTCTTCTAACTAGGTTTTGTCTTGTAAGGGTTTTATCCAGCAAGAACTTCTCCATCGAAGGCAACTCAGCAAACAATTGAAAGAATCCAGTGACGAGGGAAGTATGGGAGAGGAGAGGAAGTACAAGATGGCGGGGAAACAGAGACTGGAGTTGATCATTGAAGCCAAATCTTTCCTGTTTGAGCAGGGAAGGACAAAGGGGAAGGCTCTCTTGAAAATCAGAGAAGGGAGTAGGGCGTCGATTCTCCTACCAGAGGAGGCCTGTGTGTGGTTGAAAGGTTTTGTAGATGAAACTGTAAATTCCTTACGGAAAGAAGGTTGGAGAAACTCGTTGACTTGTGAGAACAAGAGGTTCAAATCTGTGCTAAAAAGGAATGGAAAAGGGTGGTTCATAATGGTTACCGAACTCTTTGGTAATAACAAAAGGCAAGTGTTGTGTATTCCAGAAGGCATGAAGCGGAGAGGGTGGGCTTCTTTCACTTTTAATCTTCAGGCTTTTCTCTTGGAGGTTGAAGGGAGAGTAGAAGAAGCCCTTGGTTCGAAGGATTGTCTTCATTCTGTCATGTGTAATCAGGTGCCCTGCTCTAAGCATTACCTTGAAGTTTTGGTGTCTAGCTCAACTGTCCTCCGACGAGTAGCTTTGGAAGAAGGGAGTGGGAGTTGGGAGAAGAGGGTGGTCCTAGTGCCAGAAAGGGTGATAGAAGATTGGACGAAAGTTTTAGAAGTAATTGCAGAGAGGTTGGGATTAGATGAAGATGTAATGTTGCTGCCTTTTGCTGAAAAGAAAGCTTTATTAGATATTGGAGATAAGAAACTGATCTTCAGTACTTTCCTTGTAGAAGGAAGTTTGATTTAGGTCCAGAATTGGGCTCTAGATTGCAACGAAGTTGAACCTAGTGCCGGCTGCTTTTTGATTAAACTTCTCGGTCTTCCCTTCAACCTTTGGAATGATCAAATACTGAGGAAAATTATTAGAGCGTTGGGTGGAGTTCTGTTGGAGGTTATCTTAAGAAACTTGAGAGCGGTGGAACTTAAGGTTGCTGGGATCAAACCGGAGAACTTGCCGCGGGCCTTCAAAGTTCTCTCAGAAGGTGCTTGGTACAAGGTCTGGTTAGCTTCAGAAGATGAAGCCTTGCTTTGGGAAAGACGACTAGAGGTTGAAGGAACTGACGAGCTTGCAGGTTGGTGTACACGTGGCCTTCAGGGATTGGCGGGAAAGCCTGGTGCGTGTGGGCGAACTACAGAGGAAGGGGAACAGTCACAAGGGTGCCCCAAGTCTCGAAGCTTTCCTTTTAAGGCTTCTAATTCAATTTTTTTTGAAGAGGGGTTGTTTGAAGAGGGTGGCCTGTCCTATGCTGACGTGGATAAAATGGGAAAGAGTCGTTTGTGCTCTAAGTCTTTCTCTGAACCGGCTTTAAGAAAGGTTGGGCTGGTCGGGTCAGTGGGTGAGCCTTCACTTGGTTTTAAAAGCCCACGTGACAACTTAAGTCATCACGTGAGGTGGGGCAGGCTTGGGGCGATGATAGATGGCAACATTCATCTATCATCGTCTAAGTCTCGCCCTCTCGACTGTGGAGGGGTGAAGTTAGCGAGCAAGGTAGAAGGACGCCGGCCTCTGTGCTGGGTCCGACGGGCAGTCGGCGACGCGCAAAAACTCAGCATTCTTGATCGCCCGAACCCACGCTATTCGAGAGGCAGACCAGAAGAGAAGGAAGAGGCTGATCAAGGTTGGATAAGCTACGGTTTAGATTCTGAATATGATGAAAGTTCAGAAGCCTGTGGGAGTTTAGGCAGTGCGACAGATGAAGCTCTTTCTAAACATCAGAACAGGGATACTTTTAGCCTAGATTGTTTGTTCTTACGGGATTCGGTGGGGGAAGGAAAGGAGGAGGGGGAGGAGCGGGTGAATGATTTTCACCCAAATCTGGCTGAGCCCCCTTAGTTCTAGTGCTTTGCAAGAGGCCGAAAAGGAGGTAGCTCGGGTCTTCTCAGAGTTGAACAAGGGTACCTCATAGAGAGGTACATACTTGGGTACAGAAAGGGGTCATTGTGTTGATACAACGACAGGAATTTTCTTCCCCCAACTCTGGGAGACAGAGTGCTCTAATTTCTCAAAAAAGAAAGTGACTACCACTCCTTCGCCTTTGCTCTCTCCTCACTTCTCTACCTCAGGTAAATCCCTCAACTCTATTAATACAGTTTTGGATA